AGTATTAGAAGTTGAAGTGTTCTATATGGGCATGTGAATGTTCCTGAGAGCGGGAATCTGACTTGAGCAGTGACTAGTAAAGCAGGTTTTATAAGTATAACAGAAAAGAGACTTTTTTTACTGGAAGTACAACTTAGGGACAGGCAAATCCTACTAGTAGGAGAGTAAAAAAAAAAAGCAAATGTTTTGTATGTGTGTACCAGGGAAGAAAAGGCAGAAGGAACTAACCTCAGATTAGCAATCTTTTAGACAGAGGAGGCAGAGTGATAGACAAAGTGCAAAATAAATCCTTCTATCCAGACCCAACTGCCTCCTTGTGGTCAGCAGATCATGAAGTGTTGAAGATCCAGTGCCACTGGATTTGGACTTCCCACAAATACATCCTGACACTTCTTATTCATGAGTCAATTCAATATCCAGCTCTTTCCCAAACCCTTCCAGAAGAACCAAAGGAAGAAGCTTTCCTAGTCTTGAGAAGTAAGATTTTCAGGAGTCTCATAGTAGAAAGCCCACCTTTGGGTCCCCTGATGACATTACCTGGGAAGTTCATGACCCATGGCAAATCTTGATCTTAATGGATGAGCAAATTTGCCTGTTTGTCTTCACACAGCTTTCCTGTGAGAATCTAAACTAATCCTGCTCTCAGCTCTTATCAACAAAGTGAATACAGTTTTGTTTGGATGTATAAAGAGCTAGCAAAACAGTGTGATGGAGAGCAGGTGTGTCACAAAATGTACAGTGAGCAGCATTTAAGTTTCTAAATAAACTGATGTATCACGTATTTCAATCAATGGCTAAAACAAATAATACAAAAAAGTAACTTTCTCCACTCATTGTTCAAGATGTACATAGAATGTCAAGTACAGTAAATACCACCACAGTGTAAGGTGTATTTAAAATCCTTCTTGTTGATTTGCTAGAACCTTAGTAATTTTCTAAATATCTAGGGATCAAGGAAAGGTTGGCTTGATATCAGATATATCCACTGATCAAGAATGGATCATTAGGTGAATGCAATTTTGCCTTCCTGCCTGAAGAGGATCCAAACCATACCTGCTGGAAGTGCAAAAGAAAGTGGGAGAGGGAGAGAGATATACAGAAGGTAATTATAACAGACTACTGCTCTCACTAGAGAAATTTATGCTGGAGCAGGACAATCCATCTTTGTTATTCGCTGCATAATATCACAGGAATGATCATTCAGCAGTTTAAGGTGTAGTCTAGTCTCATTAACAAACCAATACATAGCTCCAATTCTCTTTCAATGTTCTAAAGTAATTAGTGACTTAAATCCTGGAATAAGTCCTGCTTCTTTTCTTTTCTTTGGTTGACTTACCTATTGCCTAAAGTTTGTTGCAAAGTACGACCTAGCTATTATTGCACAATGTTCAGAAACTAGACTTACTGAACTGATACTTATGTCTATATCTCTGGGTAAATGAGTCCTGTTGTCAGTCTGTAGTTTCCCTTTCCAAAAGAACATATATCCACTCACTGCTTTCTGTAATGAACCTTCATCTGCCAGCCTAGTCTCGCTGAGTACAGCAACGTCAATGCTATAACAGTGAAGTTTGGCTGCTATGACTGCTGTTCATCTTTCAGGCCTTGACACCTTGTCTCTACCCAGCAAGGTGTGAACATTCCAGGCTCTGAAAATGAGTTTTCTTTGATTCGTTTTTCTCGATGCTCAACTGCTAAGGAGATGATCTGCAGCCATAGTTAACTAGCCAGATGCTATGGAGCAGGCAATGTTTAGAGTACCTTTTCTAACCCCCTCCCTCATGCAAAGGTGGGCAGTGCTATCCTAAAAGGGCTGCCCAGTTGCCCTGGATGCTGCCAGACATCTCTGCTCCCCTGGGTACTGAGGTGAATGACCTAAGGGCCACCCATGTGCAGGTTTGTGACTACAACTGGCAGTGGTCATCTCCACCTGTTGATTCACCACTCCCCCATTGCCGCAGGCCTCAACGAATTAGGTTTGGACTGAGATGATTTGCAGATGAGTTGTAGATGAAGATGAATTGCACAACAGAAACCTGTGTGATGGAGCTTTAAGTGGAACAGCCATTGCACAGGGGCAATCCCACTCTCTCAGCATAAGAGACCTTAATTCAGTGGCACAGAGAATCATTACAGCTGGAGACCTCTCCTGCTGCAGTGGATGGCCAGGACGTCTAAGTATCTTGTCATGCTCTTAGTGCTCCATAAGGCCTGCTAGGCCTTCTTGACAGTTGGACTGTTGATCAGTCTCCTCTGCTCAATCTGCCAGGGCCAGACTTCACATGCTGGGACAGACAAATCCCCTATCTCACCAAGAGTCGAAGACCGTTGGCTACCCTCACCTGGTTTGGCTTCTCTGCCGAGAAGGTTTACGAAGGTGTGCATGTTACAGCTACTTAGAGCCACAGGTGAGAGCTGAGCGCCAGGTGGGGACTAAAAGTGAACGAGCAGCCCTAGAAAGGGCATGGCAGGCCCCTCCACCAGAGGTGCTACCCCTCTCTGAACATGGAGTAGGTTTTGCAATCAAACTGCTCTGCTGAAGAATATCTCTACCCACTAGAATAAATGAACTCATTGTGAAATTCCATTTTCAGGTATATCACCATTGTCAGCACCTACGCGCCAACTCTCATGAATCCAGTCGAAGACAGGGAAGGTTTCTACAAGGACCTGGACCAGATTATTCGAACCCCCATCAGTGACAAACTCATCATTCTGGGTGGCCCCACGCCATGCTTAGGAAATGTGCCAAGCATAACTTGTATATCACTAACATGATGTTCAGACTTGCAAACAAGTACAAAGCTACCTGGATGCATCCCAGTTCCAAACACTGGCACCTACTTGACTACATCATAGTACATCAGCGCAACCTTACCATCACCATCACCCAAGCCATGCAAAGTGCTGAGTGCTGGACAGATCACAGGCTGGTCCAGTTGGTCCTCAACCTGCACGTAGCCCCTCTACATTGTAAGCAACCAAGGACTAGACCCAGGCCAAGTCCACCTTTTCCAAGATGTACTTAATGAAAAACTCTCCAGCAATTTACTGCTTGTAGGAACCTGTTCTGAAAAGTGGATACAGTTTAAAGATGTCATCACACAGACTGCAACAAGTGTACTCAGACTGAAAACCCGGGTGCATCAAGATTGGTTTGATGAAAACCATGAGACCATTTCAGCAGCCCTCCAGGCCAAGAACAAGGCCTATGTAGACTGGCAGAATGATCCATCATCTGTCTCAAAGAAAGATAAGTCTAAGCATCTGCAGTCCAAAGTACAGATGGAACTGCGAGAAATGCAGGATGAGCAATGGCAGAGAAAGGCTGAGCAGGTGGAACGCTATGCAGACATCCATGCTATCAGAGAATTCTTCAGCACCATAAAGGCAGTATATGGTCCTTCTAAATCAGGATGCTCCCTCCTGCTGTCATCTAATGAATCAAGCCTGCTAAAAGAAAAACCATTGGACTGAACCCTTTTTCAACCTATTCAATAGGCCATCCATAGTTGATCCTGACATCTTACAGCAGATTCCTCTGCTGCCAGTCTTGGATGCCCTAGACCTGCCTCCCTCTACTGATGAGATCAAGAAAGCGATCTCGCAACTCAAATAAAGGAACAGGATAGGATGGCATTCCTGCTGAGATCTACAAAGCAGTAGACCCAAACGCCTTACAGGCGTTCCAAGAACATCTCGGAAGACACTTGGTCCACAGAGGAGATGCCTGATGACTTCTGCGATGCCCTCATTGTGGCTCTCTACAAAAATAAGGGAAGCAAATCAGACTGCAGAAAAGACAGAGGTATCTCACTGCTGTCTATTGCAGGCAAGATCCACCAGCTTTGAAGACAGGTGCCACCAAAAACTGGTAGAAAACAGTGAGCAGTGTCACAGAATAACATCCACAGTTACTATAACAATGAACTTCCAGTGCCCCCATTGGGCTAGACTGGGACTGCAGAACCACCTCCATGTCCACAGATGAACTGCACAACAGTGTGTCTTCTTCGAACCTGAAGGACTACCATATACTGTGTCTTTGCATTTGGGGTGCTGTGTAGAGGTCCAGCCATCATATTTGAAAAAGTGTGTAACAGAGTTGGAAAAAGTGCAAAACAAGGCAACTAAATAATCATGGAGTTTGAAAATCTTCCCTGAAAAAAGTTAGAATGTTTGGGATTTTTTTTAGTTTAAAAAGAAAAAACTGAGTGGGATATTGTTCATGCGCATAAGATTATTCATGGCATGGAGAAAATGGATGGGGGGGGGTCTCCATCTCTTAAAACCCTAGGAGCAGGGACCATCGAATGAAGGAAATTGTTGCAAAACAGAGAAAAGAAAGCATTTCTTTGTCTTTAATATTTTTATTTAATATTTATTATATATAAATTATATTTATATATTTATAAATTATATATATAATATAAAATTAATATTTTTGTATTTAAATAACCTATGGAATTCATTACCACATGATATTGTGATAGCTCCTAAGCTGGATATCTTTAAAAGGGAATTAGATAAATTTATGGAGGACAAGAACTATTGGTCTTGAAGAATCAATGTTACCTAAGGATGGGGTTACCACATCTCCAAACACCAGCTGCTGGGAAACAATGATAGGAGAGGAATATCTCTCCACTTCCTGCTTTTAGCACCCAGAGGAATTGGGTTGTCCATTGTGAAATACACAATTCTAGAATAAGATGAGCTTACCAGCAGAGGTATCCAGCAGGTCTGCTCTTGTTTGCAAAAATAAAAATAGGGGATAATAGATTTGTAGATTTCCTATAATTGGCAGGACTCTTTAGGACTTAGTTGTATTGTAACCTCATAAAATGTGGATATAAAATGGCTCATTAATCAGTGATAGGAATTCCACTGTCCTTTAAACACCTTTATTAAAACATATTAAATGTTTTAGTCCTCATTTCTATAAAAGTATTGTACTTCCTTCCTCTTAGAGATAAAAAAAATAAAGCTCACTAGCTTACCTCAAAGTCACAACTGTATTCTATGCCATCCAAAAGCACAACTTTAGCCTGGACTATCCTGATCTTCTTAGGAGTTTTTTGAAGCACTCTTTCTACTTTGACTTCATTTGTCTGAACTTCTTTCGTCTCTCTTTTCCCATCTTCTGTATCTTGCTTGTTTTCTGTAGCTTCAGAAACTATTTCTTTGTCTTCTTCAGCAGGCTGTGCAAGGAAATGTATATTAACATACAGTAAGGCTGTATTTACAGAATTGTAAATTTAATGAAATGCAGTTACATATATTTCAAATTACACTATCAGATAATCATTATGTAAGATATGCATATCTATTTTCTTTTATCATTTTGCTCAGAAAAAATACAGATTACCCATAGAATAAATCTGCAGGAGGCATCAAGCATGCTTCACTAATGAATAAAACAATGTCTGTTTTTCATACTTCAGGCAAATAAAAAAGTGCTTTTTGACCAGGACAGCTATTCTGAGATTCTATTGCATGAAAGCAGAAGAGATTGGCCACAAAGAACGTAAAGACTACCATGACAAAATGCTATCCAAACTCCTTTATAGAGCTCAGTTAGGTCTAGATATAAAGTGCAACTGTGCCTCACTAGTGCACATACAGTCCAGATTGAGAGCTCTGAAATAAGTACCCAGGTGTATGCCTAATGCTGGAAACAGGGCTACTGAGGCTTGAGAGAAGCATGTGGGTTTCCATGTTCATGTACTGGCTAAAATCAAATTTTTAGCCATCAAGTCTAGCCCTTTCTTTGTTTAACAATGATTTACAATGAACTTGGAAAATAACAGTTCATAACAAAGAAACCGTATGACAGTATTTTTTTAAATCTATGTTGTATGAGATCTAAAGAGCTCTTATATAACACATCACAGACATGGAACTGCAAGTTAACCTAACAACTGTCCCTTTAGGCTATCAATCTTAGAGACCAAATCTCTAGTACACCTAATTAGCCTGTTATTTTGAGATCTCAGCTTGCCCAACTATTAGAAAGAATTCTTTCTTCTGTTGGAGGGCAAATTCAGTTATACAAAACAGAAGCAAAGATATTACAAGTGGAAGCCCACGTTTAAGTTTGTTCATTTAGAAATAACGTCTAATTGCAAGTCTAGTTTCATTCTGTCTTTTCTCATCAATTCTACATCTCTGCCAGAACCTGAATCCTTTAATACTCTATACAAGAAAGTGAACACATTTCCTTCTTTACAAATAAAATATCTATCCAGCTAGCCTATTCTGCTTCAAGCACCAGCTACCTGCAGGCTTCCTAGCAGTCACAAACAGGGCATGAATGCAAAAAACTTTACAATATTCTGAAGAGCCACAAATCCTGCTACTGAAAAACCTATCATACATATTGTAGTATCTAAGTATCTATATCTTTCTTCATATGTTTTGAAAAACAAACTATATAAATTAGGAAGACCTGGACTAGGCAGAGTTGGGGGGGCGGAGAATGTGAACAACAGGAGTTACAATGGAGAATAGGCAGGGATGATGCAACCTCAATATGTTTTCCATTATTGTAACTGGCTCGCAGATTAAAGGCACTGAAAATTAAAGAGCACCAGGTTGTGGAAAACTGAATCATATTAATACTTTATAATAAGAAATTGATTGGGGGAGTAACTATGCCGTTCAACTCCATACTTTTTATTTTCCTGTTTGCAGTGCTGATGACAGAAACCAGAGCTAAGCAGATGGAAAGGGACTTTTCTGAAAATTTTCATGTTTGGATATAATATCTGAAAAATGATATCATCATAATTTAGTTTGAGATTGAAAAACAAACCCAAAGTTACAGAGTTTGAAAAAAATCTTTTGGAAGTCTGAAAAGTGTTTTACCAACCCACCCAACTTCTGGAGAAAATTTATCTACATAATCTCTAAGAGATGATACCAACTTGATGGCAAATAATTATCAACCAACCTAACAGCTCACAACATTACACAATATTACTTATTTATCTTATTATTATTTATTTAACCATTACCAAACAAGAGAAACCTGTATTCTAGTTTATAAAAATTAGATTGTTAAACGTGATTATTTCTCAATATAGAAGAAAGCAGGTACATTTCAAGGCCTTCATTTTAAATGGTGCAGTAGCTGGATTCTGAAGCAACAGAATCAGAGCATTAGGATAGACACAAATATACATTATAATTCACTGCAAAATCAAAATACACCTCAGAATTCATGGTATTAATTCATATTAACAAAAGAAAATATAACAGCTGTCCACAACAATGCTGAGGCCACTAAAATATGTTTCTTTTTGTTTTGCTTTTCTTTCTAGGATATACCTGTGACTCAACATAACGCTTTTCTTCTCTGCCAACCACTTCAGCTTCTTGAAGATTCTCAGAAATGTCCTCTAATTTTCCTTTAGATCGAGCTGTTTCTTCTGAAAGATGACATTCTCCTTCCTCCACTACTGTCTCTTCTTCTGATACTGGCAGCTCTCTTTTCTGAGTTTCATCTTTGGGTTCTGATAAGGTGTACGATTTTTGTTTCTTAAGCCAGGGGGGGATAAAACGAGAAATACCCTTTCCTCCTGAGCTACTAGGGCTCCTTTGGGTAGCTGCAGTTGGAAGAGGAGAACCCTCTTCTATTTCAGGTTTCTGTTCTTTTTGACTCTCGGGTGCATCCCCAGCATTTTCGCTTCCTGTGTTTGTCCTCAGCTTCTCTGATTCTTTTACTTCAGTGTCTGAACCAACTTCAGTCGTCATAATCACTGGATGCACTAAAAATACAATATAATTTTTTGTTTTAGAACATATTTTAAACTGATGACTTTTTTGTGATTCTAATCAATTAATACAGGCCTCCAGATAAAGTATAGTACAGGTAGTCCCCAGTTTAAGAACAAGTTCCGTTCCCAAGATCTGTCCTTAAGTCGAATTTGTATG